CCTTTCGTGCTCTTATTGCGGCGTGTATTGCAGCCTAAATAGGGGGAGGATAGGCGAGCTTGGATAAAAATGATGTAAGAGGCCAAGCTAGATAAGAACTATCTCTAGCCTCTAAAACAAAAGAGATAGTGAACGAGTCTCAAATATTTGTTTCTAGAAATTTTTCAAAACGAGTCCTTTAGCTTTTCATTTTTTTATAATCACACCCTCCAATTACTTTCAATTATGTCATAATTCCTTTCGATTTTTTTTTCAATTTAACCCCTAATAGCTTCCAATTTCAAGTTGTGATTTAATGCAATTATGCCCTTGATTAAACATGTCTTATATATATATATATATATATATAGATTTGTATTTTTGTTTTTTTATTCCTTCTTATTTTTTTTAGTTTATTTTCTTATAATAATAAATCCTAAAATTAAACATAAAATAAAACATGAAAAATAAAAATATGTTAAATAAAATAAAAAAGAATAAAGTTAGAAAAATTAATAGGAAATAAATATAACTTAAAACTTGGGTTATGATAGTTGCCCCCTCTTTATAATATTGAAACTCGTAAATGTCGATTGGAGGGTGAACTTTAGATTGGATTTTCTTAGTGAGATTGGAAAGAAGAAATAGATTGAGTGGCCAAAATGGTTTAATTATTCTAGGTGGTCACGTCCCGAAAAGTAAAAATACAATGGTCTTGTTGTGAAGGACAACTCTGCTATGAAAAGTAAGACACAATGGTCTTGCTTTGAAGGATAGCCTGCCCTAAAAAGTGAAATGTGATGAACTTATTGTGAAGGACGGTCGATCTTGAAAGTAAAATACGATGCCCTTGTTATGAAGGACGACTTATTCTAAAATGTATAATGCGATGCCCTTGTTATGAAAATTGGTCCGTGCTAAAAAGTAAAATGTGATTGCCTTATTGTAAAGTACAATCTGTCCTAAAAAGTAAAACGTGATGGTCTTGTTGTAATTGCCTTTTTGTGAAGGACGATATGTCTTAAAAAGTAAAATACGATAGCTTTATTGCGAAGGGTGACTCGTCCCGAAAAATAAAATGCGATGACCTTGTTATGAAAGGTTGCTCGTCCGAAAAAGTAAGATATGATGGCCTTATTATGAAAGACAATTTTTCTTAAAAAGTAAAATGTGATAATCACTAGGCAACCTTACCTAAAACGATGAACTAGATTAGGCAATTGTGCTTGAGATGGAAAGTTATTCGTTGGGCAACTTTGCCTAAAATGATGAACTAAATTAGACAACCCTACTTGAAATGAAAAGTGATTGCTAGGGAACTTTGCCTAAAATAACGAACTAAGTTAGGCAACCCTACCTAAAATGGGGAAGGAGAAGTAGCGAGAAACGAAAGTGGAAAGAAGAAGAAGAAAAGAAAATGGGGGAAAATTTTGAGCGAGTTGGGTATTTAGGGATTCCAGTTAAAAACGGTCACTAATTTTTTTTTTTGAAATGTGCCATTTCCCCCAATGGTAACAAATTAGTGACGGTTTTTGAAAAATTATCGCTAATATATGTATTTAACGATGGTTTTGAGGGAAAAGAAACCATCGTTAAATTATATTTTGTTTTTGAAATTTTCATTTCCCCTACCGGAAAAAAATTTAACGATGATTTTAACACACCATCACTAAATTTGTTGTTTAGTGACGGTTTAAAGGAAAAAAACTATTGCTAAACCTAACTTTACCACTAGTTCTTTTAAACATTGTTTTAGAGATGGTATCTCTTATCCTGTCACTAAATTCGGTTGGTAAAAAGGCTTTTTTATTGAGCGAGTTTTTGAAATCATCACTAATTTTCTCAATTAGCGACTATTTTTAAAAACCCTCATTAAGTTCTAAATTAAAATCAACATTAGCAATGGGATTTAAAAAATCATCGCTAAAAACAGTCTTATTTGACCAAATTAGCCATGGTTTTATATAACTCTCACTATAAAAAATTTGACCATAAATAGCTATGGATTGCTTAAATCTATAGCTATTTCATGTTTTTAGTGATGGCTATGACAACTTTTTTTAATTCATAAATTTATTATAGTGTGTATTTGATTTGGATAAGATAGTCACATGTGAGAGAGAAGTTTGCTGAGTTTTACATATGAATGGAGAATCTCGTATTGATTAGGAATGAGAAATTTGAGATGCTTATAAAAAGACAGAGTCCTAACCTAACAATTTAGCTTTTTAGGTTGAAGTGATGTCTCTCATATAGGTCTATGAACAAACCCAAGTGATTTTTTAATACATATCTCTTCTACATAACATGTATAATGTTTTTTATTCGTAAATGTTTTACCAACAACAAATGCTCCTAAATTGCTAGTTACATCTTAATTTTATGTTGTTTAGTACTCACCTTCCTTTCAGATTTCTTGCTGTTAGTAAAACGAACTCTCTACTTTTTCTTTTGGTACATTGCACAATTACTTTTGAATTCTTTCTCCAGTCTCCCGCATAGTAACAGTTGCAAAACGCATAATTATGACAACATATGCTTTATGTAGTAAAAAATTAATGATTCTGGAATATTTTCTTCCTCTTTTTTCTTTCTATGACAGACGGTTAGCGTGCTTAAAAAACATTATAAAACTGTAATTTATATAATTGCTTAATTAGTTCGTTTATAGTGCATACTTAATGCTGCAAAAGTTATGGACACAACTCATTTTCAATGCTTTGTATAAATGCTATGTCTAGTGGCCACTAAACATAGCTTTGATTGCTATTGCCAGTGGGATTGGAAAGATCAATGCAACTTCGTGAAAATCTTAATAAATAAATAAATAAATATATATATATATATATATATCGTTGAAATTTTCTTCCTTGTTTCTGTGGGCAACCGTTGTATTAATCTTTTTCCTTTGTGTCAAATAACTTCCATATTAGTGTTACTAAATCCGGTTGGATAGGTTGACCTGACTAAAAATCTCATGATTTAGCTACTTAATCGATTTGAATTGATGTTAGATATTAAGTACACAAGAGATTCGATCAAATTCAGATAAACCTCGTCATAATGGGTCACAACCGAACAAATCTAGGCACTTAACCTAATGGATCAAGCATTAGCCTAGTTTGGGGGGGGGGGGGATTGTAACTTCGGAAGTTAGAACTTGGTACATTCACATATTGAAATTATATACTTACCATTTTTATCATTTATTGATTATGCATTGTAGATAAACAAAAAAGAAGTCCTCTGTTATTTTATGGAGAAAAAAACTATTTATTATGTAGGACAACTTTTTCAAATGATTTTGAATTATAGTTAGAGTGTCTTTGTGAAACCCGGGCGAACACCCATTTCTATATATAATGTTCCCTTATTAAAAAAAAATATTACTTTTTAGTCCCTAATTTGCTACTTTTAAATTCTTTTTATGGGTATGTATGAATGATTTTCTTTTTTCAATATATTGATAGGCTCCATATAATTTTCTAGCTCCATCATTGCACCTCTCTCTCTCTCTCAAGTTAAAGGAAAATCAATACACCATTTTACTTCACTCACCTAATTGTCTAATGCAACCATTTCCATTACTTCATTTTTATTGCAAACAGAAAAATTTGGGGTCAATATCTATCATCATGAAAAACTAGGAAGCCTAACGGAGATAGCACTGTTGCATATACCTTTTTGTCAGCTAATGAAAGATGACGTTGGATGCAGTCTTCTTTAGACTTTTACAAATCAGGTTTTAAAAAGTAGCACTCTCTTTTTACTTGCTTCTGTTTCTATTCCATGCTAATCTTTTAAGTTTTTCCTCAGCTAATTCCTATCACTAAATAGCCGTAAAATACATTTTCGAGCCGCCACGTCTCTTGCTAACCTAATCCAACACTATAATTTATCAGACCCACCACACTGTTTCTGACGCGAGGTTTTTCATTTTTGAGCAAGCACAAATGAAACACAGATATATATAAATATGGGATACAAATGATTTACTGCATAGGTGTCTGTCTTTAGATAATTATTGATCGGAAGAGTCACATGCAAGGGATATATAACATCTTCCAATGCACTTAAAATTTTGTTATACGTACCTGGAAGTTTAATTACACTTCGAAATTACAACCAATGAACAGATTGAATGATTATGCGTCTTATGTTTGAAAAGGTGAACAAAAAATGATACTTAGAATAGTTCTGTTAATGAAATATGGATCAGGGTGTCAATTTCCAATAGAGATTTCATGCCTCAAAAAGATAGCATTGATGTGGTTTAAAAAGAAAAAAGAGAGGAAAAAAAAAAAAAAAGATAAGCTTTCAGTTCTGTTATACAGCTGGTGTCCAATTTCTCATAGCTTAAACTGATCAAGATGTAAAGCCTTATGTCATATATATAGCTGTAATTTGATGTGTGACAGATTATGACCCATAAAAGATCTTATTTACATCATCAATAGAATTTTTCATTCTATTGTCTAGTTCTTGGTATAGTTAGTGACCTAGCAAACTTGTCCTTTGCTCCTTTAGTTATCTCTCTTGCTAGTTCCTTCTTCAATTTCTAAAACAAATAAATGTGAACAACCTCAGTTTAACGGACCAAATGTTGCAAGACTAGCCTTTTATTGCTTATTTTTTCTTCTGCTGTTAATGTTCGAGAACTTCCTTAAGCTTCTGCAAACATTCTTAACCATTAACTCTTTTGTTGAATTCAGAAGAAAAGAGATGGATTTAGTGAATTGGACGAAATATTGAAGCTGGAGTCTTTCACTAATATGATACCAAAGAAACAGTAAACAGAACAATCCCAATATTTCATAAAAATTGGAAACAAACAAAATGATTATACCACCAAGAAACTATCATTATATTTTATTTATATACTCATGATTTTACATATTCACGCATATTTCAAAAATAAAACAAAACCCAAAAGCTGAATCACTACAGAATATGTTAAAGAGAACTACAAAAAAGGAGTGTCTTCCTTTCCTAGTTGAAGCTGGATGGATAGCTAGATCAACTTAAACTTGTTCCTTGTGACAATTGCAAGAAACAGGCTTGGCCAAATACGTTGGATTCTCATCCCCAGCCAAGATCACAACAATTTTTGGCTCAAAATCTACCTGTGATTCCACTGGACTTTCATCTTCAGCCTCGCTTCTTAATGTGTTGGGCATAGATTTTCTAAAGGAGCAAGCAAGAATTATCAATGCTACTGTGATAAGCCCCAACATGAATGCTAGACCAACAAAGACGTAAGCAACGGGTGAATTCCGATGCCAGAATTCCCCATGAGCTGTACCCACTGCTGTTGAGTTGGTAGCGGGCCTCATTTCCAATAAGCTCCTCTCTTTTTCTCTCTCTCTTTCTAGTTTTTTTTTTTTTTAGTGCAATATATTGGGGTTAATGAACCTTTTATTTATAGCATGAAAGTTAGTTCCACAGTGAATATTGGATTAGAACAAAGAAATATTGGTTTCGTGCAGTCACAAAGAAAAGAAGCTATCGGTTTTGTAAAGAAAAGATAGATTCTTTCTTGAGGTGAACTACTTCTGCCACAAAAGTCTCATTTTGTCGAGAACCATTTTCCTACCAAGTTGAAGCAGAGAATGATTGAGACGTTTGCGTTTCCAAGCAGCTGCGTCCGCTGGCAAATTCAGCATATAAAAAGAATAGAAAAAAAAATTTTAAAAAACACAACTTTTTATGACAAAAGTGAAAGTTTTCAGGAGAGAGAAATATTTTATTCAATTGTACATTGAGTTAAGGCATTATAAATTTATAAATAGAGAGGTTTTTTTTTTCTAATCTGTTTTATTAGAAAAAACATATAAATTCTAAATTATAGTGATAGTTATTATTTAGAAAATTAACTCAAATACTTAGGAGACTAATGATCTATTTTCTAAAATAGAATGATTTCTAGAATAAACTAATCATAAAAGATCTTTCTATACTTCTCCTCAAATTGGGACATATATGTTAATCATTCCTAGCTTGCTTATTAGATCTTCAAAACTTGGTTTATGCAAACTTTTAGTTAAAATATGAGTTGTTTGAATTTTAGTAGGGATATAAATCATGCACGCACTTCCACTCGTTAATCTTCTCTTTGATAAAGTGTCGATTAATTTTTATGTGTTTTATTCGATCGTGATGGATAGGATTTTGAGCTATACTCACTACTTGTTGTCACAATACATCTTCATGGAAAAGTTGTTAAACATCTTCAGTTCACTAACCAATCTCCCTAGCCATATTCCTTCACATATACTTTCGGCCAAAGCTCGAAACTTAGGTTCCGCATTGCTTCTAGCAACTATAGGTTGCTTCTTACTCCTCCAAGTTATAAGATTACCCAAACATATGTGCAATAACCTAAACTTCACCTTCTATCTAAAGGAGAACCCGGTAAGTCTACATTAGTATAAACTTCTATCATTCTATGTTTACCTTTCCTAAAGAAAAAACCTCTACCGGGAATATTATTTAAATCCCTTAAAATTTTACTAGTCGCATTGAGATATGTCTCCTTAGGTGAAAGCAAAAGCTGACTAATCACACTTACCGATAAATGCAATATCCGGTCTTATGAGTGACAAGTAAATCGGCTTCCCTATAAGCCTTTGATATTGTTCTCAATCAATTTCTCTACCTCCTTTAATATCTAACTTAGTATTTGGATTCATAGGTGTCTCGGTTGGTCCGTTACCTAACATACTTATATCTTGAAGAAAATCAAGTACATACTTTCCTTACACAATTTTAATCTTTGATTTTCTTCTAGTAACTTCCATACCAAGGAAGTACTTTAGAGTTCCCAAATCTTTCAATTCAAATGCTTCGACTAGGTACTTTTTTAAAGAAGTTAATTCTATATGATCATCTTCCGTTAGGATAACATCATCCACATATACTATAAAAATGGCTATTTTTTCCATCTTTAAAGTGCTTGTAAAATAATATGTCGTCAAATTATGCTTAAATAAAACCCCTACTCTTGATAACTTGAGTAAATTTTCTAAACCACTATCTAGGAGACTATTTCAACCTTTAAAGAGATTTTTTCAATCTGTACACCATGTTGTTCTTTCTTTCAAACCTAGGAGGAGCATCCATATAGACTTTGTAAGTCACCATTCAAAAATGCATTCTTTATATCCAATTATTATAATGGCCAATCAAGATTAGAGGCTAAAGAGAAGAACTCTTACTATATTTAGCTTTTTCCACCGAAGCAAAGGTCTTTTGATAGTCAATTTCATATGTTTAAGTAAAGCCTTTGGCCACAAGCTTGGCTTTGTATTGATTGATACTACTATCGGCATTGAACTTCACTATGAAAACCCATTTACAACCTACTATTGTCCTCTCTTTATGAAGTTCTACAATATCCCATATGCCATTTTTATTCAAGGCACCTACTTTTTCTTAAACAACTACTCTCCAATTCAAGTCATCAAATGCTTCTTGTATATTTTTGGTACCTCTATTCTTAATAGTGACGTAGTAAAAGCATGAAATTCATAGGACAACCTTTTCATAAGAGACAAACCCGGATATGGAATGTTAGGTATAGGATCGATTCTTTTTCTATGAGCAATTGGAATATTTAGGTTTGAAATGTGATTTTCGAGCACAATATCATGCCGACCGAGTTCACTAGTACTTTCGATAGTAGGACTTAGATTCCGGTCGGACTCTTGACCATGATGAGTTTTAAGTTTCTCATCTTTTTTAGAATGTTTCCTATATGAATAAATAAGTAATTATGACTGAAAGTTATCTCCCCTTATTTCCAATGGTTGTTTGTGTGTATTGAGTGACACAATATGCCGAGATTTAATATTAGGAATTAGGTTTGGAATTGAAGAGGGAGGTAAGGATAAGGATTTCATTTTAGGTATATCCTAAGACTTATCTTCTTTTGAAATCTCTCATTGAAGATAAGTATTCGGAAAAAAAGATTGAGACCGAAAAAGAAACATCAATGGATACGAAAGCACGATGAAGTGATGGAGAATAACATTTAGACCTATATCGAGTGGGAGAATACCTAATAAAGACACATTTGATTGATTTTGGGTCTAATTTAGAGAGATTTTAAATATGTACAAAAAATGTAGAACCAAAAGACTTAAGTGGTTTAGAGGAAATAAAATGAAAGTTTGGTAAGTTTTTAGCAAAGTTGATAAAGAAGAGTCAAATTTAAGAACTCGAGAAGGCATTCTATTTATGTGGTATGAGGTCGTTAAAAAAACTTCCCCTCCCCCAAAGATATTTTAGGATATGCATGGTAAACATTAAGGCTCTAACGACTTCGGGAGGTGACAATGTTTCCTTTTTGCCATAAAATTTTGCTCGGGTATGTTTGGACATGAACTTTAATGAATTATTCCATTAGTTTAAAAGTAGTGTCCAAGAATTGCATTAAAATATTCCTTTCCATTGTTAGTTCTTAGTGATTGGATAAAGGTATGAAATTAGGTTTTTATCATTGAATGGAAAGTTTGAAATTTTTTTATAGTCTTAAATTTTTCTTTCTCGAGTATGGTCATCGATAGAGGTGATGAACCACCGTTTACTAGAGTTATTTTTTACATTAGATGGTCCCCATATATCATTATGAATTAAGGAAAATGGATGAGGCTCTTGGGATAGTTGGATTAGGAAGGATGTTACGTTTAGTATAGGATTTTTATTGATAAATAAACTTGAAAACAAATGTTTGAGATAATAAAAGTTTGGATGTCCTAACCTATGGTGCCACAACATTATTATATTATTATTGGGAATCGAAGTAAAGTCATTCTCAATCATAATAGCTTGCTTAGTCATGTATTTGTCATCCCTAAAATAGTAGAGTCCTCGAGATGGTGCCTTCTTCTTTAACACTCGCTAATCATCATTCCTAATTCCAAGTTCTACAAGTATACAAGAGTTGCTAAAAATGATAGCAATATAGTTAACCTCGTGGGTAATCTTGCTAATAGAGATCAAGTTACAAGCAAGATTTGGTACATAAAGAACATAACTCAAAGAAATCTCTTTTGAGAGATGGCTTAAGCCTCTTTTAGTAGTAAGAGAAAAGGTACCATCCGATACTTTAACTTTAAAATTAATATGACAAGGAGTATGGGAATAAAACAGAGATAAGTTACCCGTCATATGGTAAAATGCCTAGGAGTTAAGAATCCAAGTATTTGTATTTTTTGCATGAAAAGTTGTACGTTTATGGGTAGAACCATTGACAATTGTACTACTCATTTTTGATTGACCTAACAATTTCTATAACTCGTTCCAATTGAGACTTGCTTAGGAATACACCATTTGACTCATTGTTGGAACATGTTTTCTAAATTTTCTCCTCTATCGTTACTTGAAAACTTTTTTTATTTATTCCTCGAGGCTTTCAATTCATTTGTTTTCCACGGATATCCTAATAGGTATCATAGGTATGACTAGCTTTATTGTAGTGGTTACACCAAGGACATCCTTCTCCCCGATTATTTTCATTATTTTTTTTATTTTCACCAAATATATCATAGGAATTGCTTACGACAAGAGTTGTTGTATCAATCGACCTTTCTCCAGCCCAAGACAAACATGGACTCCCTTTTTCCACTAAGCATAACACGTCTACTACTAGCTTCTCATCTTACTTTTATAAATGCTTCATCAATAGAGGGTAATCGTTTATGCTTTAGTACCCTTCTTTGTACCTCTTTAAGCTCTTGTGTAAAGCCAATCAAGAACTCATATAGTCTTTCCTTCTCTAAATGCCTTTTGAACTTCGGATTACCTTTAAGGTCTCTTAATGTACTTCATAATGCATATTCAGCTTATGCTAAAGTATTTATAACTTATTATAATACTTAATTACATCCATATTATCTTGTCATATTTCCTTCAGTTGAGTTTTAATCTCAAATACTTGAGATGTATTTTCAAGGTAATCTTGCTAATAGAGATCAAGTTATAAGCAAGATTTGGTACATAAAGAACATAACTCAAAAAAATCTCATTTGAGAGATGGATTAAGCCTTTTCTAGTAACAAGAGAAAAGGTACCATATGCTATTATAATTTTAAAATTCTTGTGACAAGCAGTATGAGAATAAAACAGAGATAAGTTACCTATCATATGGCCAAATGCCCTAGAGTCAAGCATCTAAGTATTTAAATTTTTTGCATGAAGAGTCTGTACATTTATGGTCGAACCATTGACAATTGTACTACTCATTGTTGAATTGACCCAAGAATTTCTATAACTATTCCAGTTGAGACTTACTTAGAAATACACCATTTGACTCATTGCTAGAACATGTTTTCTC